GATCGCCGAGAAGTCGGCACCGAAGCCGCCCGTGCACAGGATCACCTGGAGGCGACCGCCAAGCCAGCCATCGGTGGCCCTTGGCGACCATTGGTGGCCATCGTCGGCCCGCGGTTGCCTTCCTTTCCCTCCGGCTGCGACGACGACGACGAGGCTCTTCCTCCTCCTCCTCCTCCTCCTCCTCCTCCTTCTCCTCCTCGTCCTCCTCCTTATCCTCCTCATCCTCCTCCTGCTCCTCCTCCTCCTCCTCCTCCTCCTCCTCCTCGCTCACTCCCTCCCTCCATCCATCCATCCCTCCTCCCTCCTTCCCCTCCTACTTCCTCCTCTTCCTCCATCCCTTTCCTTTTAGATACCTGTTTCTTCCTGTCGCACCCCCGGACGTGTCGGTTGGGCGGGCCGGGCGTTTCGCCTGTGCCTTCCTCGCCACTCATGATCCTGAAGCTTGAAAGTTGCAGCAGTTTCACGGATGGAGGGCGCATGGTTTTCAAAATGTGGATCTCTCTTTTTTTTTTCTCTCTCTCTCTCTCTCTCTCTCTCTCTTTAGGGCCGCGCACATTCGTCTTACTTCTTCGCAACAGTTTCGCGGATGGAGGGCTGGCCGCCATCAAAATGTTGGTCTCGCCTGAGCACCGCGCACAGTCGTCTCGACAAATACAAGAGTTTCACTGATGGAGGGCGGGTGATATTTCGAATGTGGCGCTCGCCTTGACGTCGCGTACACTCATCTTAAAAGTTCGCAGCAGCTTCAAGGATGGAAGGCGGCGTCTTTTCAAAATGCTGGTTCCGCCTTGTCACCGCGCACAGTCGTCTTACACGTTTCACCGTTTCTAGCGTTTGCGTGGTTAAAGTCTCAGGGTCTTCTGGCACCTTTTAGGACTGTCAGGACGCAACTGCCACGTTGATTCGTAGTGTTGATGTCCCAGGAAAGGTGTTCGGGCACGGTTTGGGACTGTCAGGGCGCACCAGTCACGTTGATTCGCGGTGTTGAAGGAACAGGAACGGTGCTCTGGCACGATTGAAAATATTTAGACGGCATCTTCTAATGCAGCACTGCCCGCCATGATAACCATTTGTATGGACGATGAAGAGACAACTTGGAGGGAGGGTGCATTGAAACATCGCAAATGCGTCTTTGGTTTACACTGCTCCTCCTCCTCCTCCTCCTCCTCCTCCTCCTCCTCCTCCTCCTCCTCCTCTTCCGCCTCCCTACCCCCCTCCCCGCGCACGCGCTCCCCCACGCGGGCAGGGGGGAGGGAGGGACGGAGGAGGGAGGAGATGGGAGGAGGGAGGCAGAAGGCGGGAGCAGGGAGGCGGGGGGAAGATGGAAGGCAGGAAGGAGAGCGGCACCGAGGAGGGAGTGAGGAGGGAGGAGAGGGGCACAAGGACAAGCTAAGTGCGCTCGCGCCATATCTGACATCCTACCACTCCCACCCATCCCTGCTCATTGCGCTGATTTCTCGATATCCGCTGACGGGTGTCACACTGGACCTGAAACTCCCAAAATAAGGGAAGCTGTGTACAATGGAGGAGGTGGAGGAAGAGGTGGCAGATAAGCACGGAGTTAAGAAGGAGGATCAGCAGGATGAAGAGGGTAGACAACAGGGAAGAAGGAGGAGGAGGAACAGCAGCAGCAGCAGCAGGAGCAGGAGTAAGAGGAGCGGGAGGAACAGGAAGACCAGGGGAATGCGGGCGAGGGAAAACGAGGGGGCGACGACGACGCCGAAAGGCTGCAATCCAGCAGTGTAGCCCGCGCCGGGGCGAGAGCGCAACTCTGAAAGACGGGAGCAAAGCGCCGATCCTGACATGAGGCCAACGCTGCAGGGGGGAGCACCAATTCGAGAACCCAAAAATGAGGCGAATATAAACGACATACGAAAGTATCAATTCTTGAACGGAGTACAAGACACAAGACCATACACAGGAAAATCGGAATAACTCCAGGATGTAGACGTTTTATTTGGTTCGCGGGCGCAAGAAGATCAGACGCCGGTCGAGCTCCAGACGTAGACAGGGGAGAAAGAAGAGTAGTACTCATATCGAGTACCTGTGGACGGGCAGGATATCCTCCCAAACACACCGCGCTCCCGCTTTTTGTTGGGTGCGCGGGCCCCCCGGCCGTCTCGACCCCTTCCTCAGAGCTGGCCCTTAACCCCCGACATGCATTGACCCCGGATCGCCAATTGTTGCAGAACGGTCTTGCACCATCCCTGGGAAAGTGGGCGAATGGGGACTCCGGGACCCGATTTCTGCTTTCCTGTTGTTGTCTGTTGTTGTCGTCGTCCCCCCCCCCCGTGGCCTCCCCTGCGACCCACCCCGCGAACCCCCCCCGCGACCCCCCCGCGACCCCCCCGCGACCCGGCCTGCGCCCGCCCCCTTCACTCCTGTCCGCAGCTGGGGGCGGCGCAGCTCGCGAGTGGGAGCCGGCGGTCCGAACCCAGGCGGCTTGCCGAAGGCATCCGCGCTCGCGCACGCTTCACACACTGCTCGCGCGCCGTGGCCGGCGCCGAGGAGGAGGAGGAGGAGGAGGAGGAGGAGGAGGAGGACTAGAGAGGAGAGAGGAGGAGGAGGAGGAGGAGGAGGAGGAGGAGAAGCTCCTTCTTCTCCCTCTTCTGCCGTTCCGCCTTTCGTCACGCATCTCGCATTGCAGGTCGACCTCCCCCCCAACCAGTCGGCAGCGCGTGTTCCTGCTCCGAAGCCCGAGGGGCAGCCTCCAGGGGCCACGGACGAAGGAGCAACAAAAAAACGGCGGCGTCTGCTGCCCTGGCGGGCTCCCTCCGGGGCGGCACCGGGCCGTGCTCGCGGAAGGTCTCGCCGCCCTTCGTGTACAGGGTGCCGACGCAGCGGCCGTTCCCGTCAGTGAGCAGCTCCTTCACGTACGCCTTGGTGATGATGCGCGCCAGGTCCTCCGGGGATGGAAGAAATGGGCACGATGCCCAGCAGCAGCGCCTGTGCGAGTGGAACAAGAGTGGCTGTCCTTCGTCACCCTCCTGACGACGAGTCTTGTCATTTTGACAGCACGCCTTGCCCATTTCGACAGCAAGGGCTGCCGAATGGGCAAGAACTGCTGACAAAATGACAATACGTGCTGTCCGATGGGCCCCGAAGCGTAGCAAACTGTGCTCCTGATGCACAGGCACACCTGAGATCCGACGTAGCGAAACAATCGCCACATCGTCGAAAGCACGCCGGGAACCCTGGACCCCATCTCTCTGCGTCTTTTTGTCAGTCCACCGGTCCACCGGTCCACCAGTCCTCCAGACCACCGGTCCACCGGTCCGCCGGTCCACCAGTACACCAGTCCATTCCACCGGTCCACCAGTCCACCCGTCGTCCACCAGTCCACCAGTGCACCGGTCCATTGGCCCATCTGTCCACCAATCCACCGGTCGTTCACCAATCGTCCACCGGTTGTCCACCAGTCCACCGGTCCACCGGTCCACCGGTCCACCAGTCCACCTGTCCACTGGTCCACTGGTCCGCCGGTCCACTGGTGCACGAGTCCCTCCACCGGTTCACCGGTCCACCCGTCGTCCACCGGTCCACGGGTCCACAGGTCCACAGGTCCATCTGTCCACCAAGCCACCGGTCGTCCACCAGTCGTCCACCGGTCCACCGGTCCATCAGTCCACTGGTTCACGGGTGGGTCACCCGTCCACCAGTCGACACCGGTCCACCGGTCCACTGGTCCACCGGTCCACGTGTCCACCACTATCAGTCCACCAGTCCCCCAGTCCACCGGTCCACGGGTCCACCAGTCCACTGGTCCACTGGTCCACCGGTCAGAACGCGCAACTATTCCACCATCGCCGAAGGAGGCTCTTGGCCGTTTTCGGCCTCCGGGGGCCCCCACCGGGCCTCGGGACCGCCAAAGAACGACTTGGGATGAAAAACCGGTCCTGGGGCAAGGGTCGGGACCTCCAGGGACCCCGCATTGAAAAAATTGGGACGTCGCATGTCTTGGCAGACACCGCGCGGACCGGCCCAATCCTCAAAGATCTCCCCTCTCCGACATTCGAGCACGGCAGGTCCGTGTCGTGCCGACCCTGGCGCTGGTTTCTGACACCGCGCTGGTTCGTTCAACCTTGAACGATCGGCCGTTTCCGAGACGTCAGATCGTTCAACATCGACTACAGAATTGATTGACCCCAAACTTGACTCTCGCCGAAACCATGAAAAAAATGTTCGTAGAATTTTCGTAGAAGGAACATTATACGCTTCATTCATGGATTCGACGAGAAAACCAATTCTGAGGTAAATCAATTCTGCAGTTGTGCTCCACTCGAGACATGAGGGGTAACGATACGGGGAGAAGCATCGAGCTGGAATCGGCGATGCATCGCCGACAGATCGGCGATGGGCCCCTGGTAGCGAGCCCGCTCGTTCCTGGGCAGAGGTGGCGAACAATGGGCGATTGCGGGCCGATGCACCCCCCCCGGGCCCGTCCCTCCCCAATTACCCAGACCCCCGACGTCGTGATTCTTTCACGACGTCGACCCCCAGAGGTCTGGACCCCTTATCCCCAATACCGTTTTCTTTCCGTCCCGAGTCGTTTTTCGACGGCCCCGGGGCCCGGTGGGGGCCCCCCAAGAGGCCGAAGATGGCAGGACGCCCCCCGCCGCGATCCTTGCCACAGCGCGGTGGTGCCTAGGCCCATCGCTGCCACTGACGACAGCCAATCGTTCGATGTCCGCCGACTTCGGGCCTCCTCCTCCTCCTCCTCCTCCTCCTCCTCCTGCTCCTGTTCCTCCTCCTCCTCCTCCTCCTGCTCCTCCTGCTCCTGTTCCTCCTCCCCCTCCTCCACCTCCTCCTCCTCCTGCTCCTCCTCCTCCTCCTCCTGCTCCTCCTCCCCCTCCTCCTGCTCCTCCTCCTCCGGGCCCTGACCAGGGGCCGGCCCTGGGCCGAAGAACGCCCCGGCCAGGGGCCGACGTCCGTGCGCGGCCGGCGCCCCCCGGGAGAGGTCCGTGCGCTCGCTGAGCTTCTCGAGCATCTGGATCAGGGCGTAGGTGATGGTCATCCCGGGGAACCTGTAACAGGGAACCGAACTCTATACCCAGACCTCCTCGAGTCATGAGAAAATCACCACGGGAGGTTTTTCCCTATTTTCGGCCTCTGAGGGCCCTTCCCGGGCCTCGGGAGCGTCAAAAAACGACTCAGGATGACAGACCGGTCCTGGGGAAGGGGTCGAGAATTCTGGAGTCGACGTAATGAAAAAATCATTACGTCGGGGGTCTGGGAACAGGGAACCGAACTCTATACACCGACGCTTGTTCCGGCCCTGCACCGAAATTCGCACAGGAAAGCGGATCCTGGTGCATACGGGACCCTAGAATATGCATTTGTCGCTGGTTCTTTTTCGCTGGTTCCTGGGAAACGGAACAACGAGTATACACCGCACCGCCCCGACGCCGTCCCCAACCTTCAAAAAGCCCTGGGAGTGAGAAACAGCCCGCCTCTGGCAATGTTCGGGAGCGGCCAAGAGAGAGGTGTCCAAGAGGGGGGGTGCAAATCATGACCGGCGGCATGTGCGCGGCCCAGCGGGGGACCAGGGACGTAATGAAATAAGAAGAGGCGCCATGAAATCTGGGGAAATATCATGGCCCCCGCCATGATATCCACCCCCCGCTAGTCATCACCCCCCTCTTTGCCGCCCCCGAGACATAGGGCAGGACGAGCTGCGTGTCCTGGGGTCCTGGCACTTCCGCCTGTTCAAGCCGGGCGCTGGGGCCCTCTCGCGGGCGGCTGGGGGCCCTCACGGATCGGTGCGGCTCGGCAGGTGACGCAGAGAGATGGGGTCCAGGGCCCCTGGCGTGATTCTTACGTGGGGATTTTTTCGCTGCGTCGGATCTCAGGGTGCTGCTCTCTCGAGGTCGAGCTCGCTTTCAAAGCAAGACGAACCCAGACCCCCTCGTGTTGTGATGCCAAGACTCACGACGGGAAGTTTTTCGCTATTTTCGGCCTCCGGGGGCCCCTACCGGGCCCCGGGGCCATTCAAAAAACGACTCGGGACGGAAAAAAACGGTTCTGGGGAAGGGGTCCAGACCTCTGGGGGTCGACGTCGTGAAAGAATCACGACATGGGGGGTCTGGGTAATTGGGGAGGGACGGGCCAGGGGAGGGCGGGGTGCGTTCCGTGACGGGCCCGGGGAGGGACGGGCCTGGGGGAGGGACGGGCCCTGGGGAGGGACGGGCCCGGGGGGGGGGGAGGGACGGGCCCGAGGGGGAGGGACGGGCCTGGGGGAGGGACGGGCCCGGGGAGGGACGGGCCCGGGGGGGGGGGGGACGGGCTCGGGGCCCGGGTGGGGTGGGGAGAAACGGGCCCGGGGGCGGATGGGGGGCCCGGAAGGGGTCCAGACCTCCTGGGGTCGACGTTGTGAAAAATCACGACGTCGGGGGTCTGGGAGGGTAGGACGACATGCGTGCTGCTCTCTCGAGGTCGAGCTCGCTTTCAAAGCAAGACGGAGGCAGAGGGAGAGAGAGAGAGACTGCGCCTGGGAGAAGCAAGAAGAGACCGACACGGCGACGCCCCAGGCCTCTCCTAGAACGCGTCCGAGCCAGAATTGCGATGCGAATCCAACAGTGGCAACGAGGGGTGGGGATCTGTTTTCCTTGAAACTGCTGCCTGTTTGGGGGGAACGAGAGGGACTACCCGGGCCTCTCCCGGGCTCTCCTGATCGGGATTTCGGGGCAGATCCACTCCCTGGGCCTCTCCTGGAGCGCGTCCTGACCAGGATTTCGAGGCGAATTCAGCCGTGGCAACGAGAGACGGGCAGCGGTGTCGGTATGTCTTCCTTCTCCGAGTTCTGTGAAGTCGAATTCGACGTCAAAGCCAGCGCGCGGGCAGATGGCTGGAGGGGGAGGAGCGTCGAGGATCGAGAATCGAGGAGCCAGACCGAGGATCGTGGAGGAGGCGGAGGATCGAGAATCGTGAATCGAGGAGGATTCGGAATGAGGAGGATGAGGATAATCGAGAATCGAGGGGGCTCGAAGATCGAGGATCGTGGATCGAGGAGAGAGAGGAGGATGGTCGAGGATCGAGGGGGAGCAAGAAGAGGTAAGAATCGAGTACCGAGGAGGAGGATAAGGGGGGATCGAAATTTCCAGACGTCTTTGACCCTTTTCGGGCCTCCGGAGGCTTCTGGGGACCTCCGGGAGACCTCCAGGGACCTGGGGACCTCCATGGGTGAGCAGCAGAAATCGGATTGCAGGGGGGCACCTCCAACCTCGTCCTCCCCCTCCCCCATCATCAAGCATTCCCAGCCACCCCATCCACCTCCCATCCCCGCATCCGCCTCATCACACAACTCGATCGCCCTCATCCGCCTTAATCCCTCTTCCTAACATAAACAACTCCTCCCTGTCGCACCCCGAGGCCAGTCGAAATGGAGGGCCGGGCGTTTCGCCTGAGAATTCCTCACCAACGATTTCACGGATGGAGGACGGGTGGTTTCAAAATGTGGCTCTCGCCTCAGCGCCGCGCACATTCGTCTTAAAGATTTGCATGAGCTTAGCGGATGGAGAGCGGGCCGTTTTCATCGCCTTAGCGCCGTGCACACTCGTCTTAAATATTTGCATGAGTTTGACGGATGGAGGGCGGGCCGTTTTCAGAATGCGGCTCTGACCTTGGCGCCGCGCACATTCCTCCTGAAAGCTCACTAGAGACTCACGGATAGAGGGCGGGCAGTTTTCAAAATGTGGCTCTCGCCTCAGCGCCGCGCACATTCGTCCTAAACCTTTGCAAGAACTTCACGGACGGAGGGCGGTTCCTTTCCAAAATGCGACTCTCTCCTGAGCGCCGCGCACATTCGTCTTAAGAGCTTGCAGCAGGTTCAAGGATTATCATGGTTCACGTTCCAGAAATGGTGTTTTAGCGCGATGTCGGAATGCCAGGGCGCGACGGGCACGCTGATTCGCGGCGTCGAAGTCCCAGGAAATGGGTTCTGGCACGATTCGCGATCGGAAAGACGCACCAGCACCGGTGATGTGCGGCGTTGAAGTCCCAGGAATGGCGATTTGGCAAAGCTCTGGATCTTCAAACGGCTGCCTTCCAACAGGGCACTTCCCTCAATGGAACTGAACCCTTGCAGGGGCCTATGAAGAAGGAACCTGGAGGGAGGATTGATTGTGATATCGTTGATGAGTTTTGGGATTACACATGTCCTCCTCCTCCTCATCATCCAACTCCTCCTCCCCCATCCCCCCCCGAGTCACCCCTTGCCCCGCCTCCATTTCCTCCTGCTCCCCTTCTTCCTCCTCCTCCTCCTCCTCCTCCACCTCCTCCTCCTCATTCTACTCCTCCCCCTCCTCCTGCTCCTCCTCCCTCGCTCCCTCCATCCCTCCCTCCCTCCCCCCTCCTCCTCTCCCAACTTCCTCCTCATCCTCCTCCTCCTACCTCCTCCTCCTCCTCCTCCACCTCCTCCTCCTCAACCTCCTCCACCTCCTCCTCCTTTCTCCCCCCCATCCTCCACCTCTTCCTCCTCCTTTCTCCTCCTCCACCTCCACCTCCTCCTCCTTCTCCTACGCCTACTCCATCCTTTTTCCCCACGAATATCAGCTCCCTGTCGCACCACTTGAGGTGTCGGTAGGGAGGGCCAGAAATTTCGCTTGAGAATTCCTCACAACTAAGCACCCGGAAGTTGTCAGTTTGCAGCAGCTTCAAAGATGGAGGGCGGGTCGTTTTCAAAATGTGGATCTCGCCTGATCGCTGCGCACACTCCTCAATATAAAGCTCGCAATAGTTGCACGGATGGAAGGCGGCTGGTGTTCAAAATGCGGCTCTTGACTCAGCGCCGCGCATTCGTCTCAAAAGCTAGCAACCGCTTCAAGGATTCGCATGTTTGAAGTCCCAGGAGCGATGGTATTGCATGATTTAGGAGCCTCAGGACGCAACCGTCACGTTGTTGTGCGGTGTTCAGGTTCCAGAATTGGTGCCCTGGCACGTTTGAGGATTCTCGGGACGCAGTGCACGTTGACTCGCGGAGCTGAGTCCCAGGAGTGGCGGTCTAGCGCGATTTAATCATAAAGATTCTCACACGGTTGTCTTCCGATGGGACCTTTCCCGCAATGAAAATGCATATTTGTAGGAACATATGAAGAAGAAACTTGGAGGGAGGGTTCATTGCAACATAGTTGATGCGTCTTGGATCTACACTGTTCTTCCTCCTCCTCCTTCTCCTCCTCCCTCCTTGCAACACGCCCAAGCCGGCTGGCTGCCACCATTGCAAGACACCTATGGGGGACCAGAGGGACGGAAAAGGCCATGCTTCCCTCCTCCTCCTCCTCCTCCTCCTCCTCCTCCTGCTCCTCCTCGTCCTCCTCCTCCTCCCCCTCCTCCTCCTCCTCCTCCTCGATTCATGTTCCGTATAACTAAATCCTCTGTCTAACCCCAGACGTGCCGGCAAGGCTGGCTGGGCGTTTCGCCTGAGACTTCCTTACCATGTATGATTATGCAGCTCGGATGTTGGAACAAATTCTGGAGCGCGGCGCACATGCGTCCTAAAAGGTTGCAGCAGCTTCACGGATGAAGGGTGGGCCATTTTCAGAATGTGGCTCTCGCCTTGGCGCAACGCACATTCGTCGTACAGGTTCGCAAAAGTCCAAGGAAGTGGTTCTCGCCCTAGTGCCGCGCACATTCAGCGTAAAAGCTTACAACCGACTCAAGGCTTCGTATAGTTGAAATCCCACGAGCGGCGTGCTGGCACAATTTAGGATTGTCAGGACGAGCAATCACGTTGCTTCGCGAAGCTTCATTCCTAGGATTCGTGTCCTGGCACGGCTTTGGGTTCTCAGGACGCAACAGTCACGTTGATTCGCGGCGTTGAAATCCCTGGAATGGAATTCTTTCGCAATCGGACTATCGTCTTTCAACGGGGCACTTCCCGCAATGAAAATACATACTTGTAGGGGCCTATGAAGAGGAAACTTGGAGGGAGAGTTCATGGCAGCATCGTTGATGCGCCTTGGTATGAGACTGGTCCTCCTCCTCCTCCACCTCCAGCTCCACCTCCTCCACCTCCAACAACGGGGGAGGATCCGTTCATCCACAAGGAGCCGCTCGGCCCCACGGTGCGTCCTTGGTGCCGAGTGGCCGCCGAGCCGCGCCAGCAGCGACAGGTCCAGATCGAACGAGTCCTGGGGGCCAGGCACTTGCAGGCACTCAGACAGTGGGGGCGAGGATGAGGACGAGAACGGGTATCTGGGTGATGGATAGGTCCTCGTCCTCCTCCTCCTCCTCCTCCTCCTCCTCCTCCTCCTCCTCATCATCATCATCATCATCATCATCATCATCATCATCATCATCAGCATCATCATCATCATCATCATCATCAACATCAGCATTCATCATCATCATCATCACATCATCATCATCATCATCATCATCATCATCATCATCATCATCATCATCCTCATCCTCATCCTCATCCTCATCCTCATCATCATCATCATCATCATCATCATCATCGTCATCGTCATCGTCATCGTCATCGTCATCGTCATCATCATCACCATCATCATCACCATCACCATCATCACCACCATCATCATCATCAGCATCATCATAGGCATCAGCATCATCAGCATCATCATCAGCAGCATCATCATCAGCATCATCAGCATCATCATTATCATGATCGTCATCATCATCAGCAGCATCATCATCAGTATCATCATCATCATCATCATCATTATCATCATCTTCATCGTCATCATCATCATCATCAGCAGCATCATTATCTTCATCGCCATTATTATCGTCATCATCATCGCCATCATCATCACCACCATCAGCACCAGCATCAGCATCAGCATCATCAGCAGCATCATCGTCATCGTCATCGTCATCGTCAGCATCATCATCGTCATCGTCATCTTCATCGGCATCACCATCATCATCACCATTATCATCCTCATCAGCAGCATCAGTATCGTCATCATTATCATCAACAGCCTTATCATCAGTATCATCACCATCAGTATCATCATCACCAGCATTATCATCACCATGATTATCATCGACATTATCATCACCATCATTACCATTGTGCGTAATACCAGAAAGCTCAGCAACAGCATCACCACCATCATCATCAGCATCATCATCGGCAGCATCAGCATCATCGTCGTCATCATCATCATTGTCATCATCATTCTCATCATCATCATCATCATCATCATCATCATCATCATCTGCAACATCATAATCGTCGTCGTCATCATCGTAATCATCATCATCGTCGGCATCACCACAACCGTCATGATTATCATCATCAGCACCAGCATCATCATCATCACATTCAGCACAATCAGCATCATAATCGTCATCCTCATCACCATTGTCAGTGTACACTCACAGTTAACAGCATCATCATCAGCATCATGATGATGACCATCATGATTACCATGATGATGGTCATTACAGTCATCATCATCAGCATCATCGTCGTCATCATCACCACCATCATCATCGACCGCATCATCTTCGTGATCGTCGTCAGCAGCAGCGGCAGCATCTTCCTCATCTTCAGCAGCAGCAGCAGCATCAGCATCATCCTCATCATCATCGTCGTCGCCGTCAGCAGCAGCAGTAGCAACAGCAGCAACAGCATAATCACCACCACCATCAGCATCAAGCGAGGAGGGCGAGGGTGAGAAACAGCAAGGAAGCGGTTCCTGGAGGAAGAAGGGCCCTGAGATTCTCGCCGTCCGCGGGGGCTCGGGATGACGACCCGCTCCCGGGCAGAGCCCTGGGGTCTGAGGCCTGTCTCACTCGGGGAGGGCCCGTCTCCTTCGGCAGCACCACGACCACAGAGCCGAGCATCCGGAGAGACGCGCGGGCAGGAGAGCGAGCCATGGGCAACTGTGCGGGAATTACGAAAAGAGAAGAGGAAAACATGGCGCATCACGACTGTGAAGCAGAACATCGAGCGCCCGACTGTAAAGCAGAAAACGTGCTGCGAGACAGGAGGACGAAGGAGACGAGGAGGAAAGAGGAGGAGGAGGAGGAGGAAAAGGTGATACTGACTACGAATGCAAGAGAAAGAGGACATCCACAGCAGCGCATCCAGAAAGAGCTTCTACAAGCCAGGAGGAGGGACGCCCTCGATGCGCCAGCAAATCCCACCAGAACTGCCAGTGTCTGCGTGTGGAATGGCCGTTCCAGCCAGAGCCCCATGCTCAGAGGAAAATCAACAATACCCGCTGCTAACACATCGCGGACTGGGTTTAATACCACTGGTGCAAGGGACATCGAGACCTTCACACTACTTGGGAACAGCTTAGTATCAGAGGTCTCCGAAAGTCTCTGGAGGCGTCCATCCCCAGAGGTCCCCGGGGGTCCAGGCTCGCGAAAGCCCAAAAAGGGCTTACAACACATAATGATGATTGATTCTCGAACCTCGAGGACCGAGGCCTAGTAGCCGAGCCGAGGCCAAATTTGCCATTCCGACACGTCCATCAGCCACTCCACGTCCGCGCCGCTGTTGCCGCAGAGCACCTCGACCAACTCGGGCTTCTTGGCCCCGCCCTTCAGCGTGTCCGAGGTGAAAAGCTCCTCTGTGGGACTCCGAATGATACCCCGAGAGGATCCAGGATCGAGGAGGATCGAGCCTGAGGGGGATCGGGAATCGATCGAGGTCTTGGGACGTTCTGGAGGCCTCTGGAGGCCTCCGTAGAAGAAGAAAAAACGCCACCAGCCTAAACTTTTGGCGCTCCGCGCGGATTTCTCGCATCTGCGCTGGACCCCCCTCCCTGGCGCGCGGAGCGCGCCAGGGGCGGCCCCCGAGGCGCCGCTGGGGGGCCCAGCGCCGAGCGCAAGTTTACGTTTATGTTTATGGCGTTTTTTTCTTTATGTTTATGTTGATGGGAAATCCGCGCGGAACGCCCATGGTTTCATTTTATTGCGTTTTTCTCTTGCGACCCCAGTCGAGGACGTGCAGCACCCCGGACCAGCGCTCCAACCCGGTCCCGCCCGGGCCACTGTCCCGAGGCCCCGGGGGCCCGGACGGACCCCGGCCGCGCGGCGGCTCTCACCCGGAACAGGACCAGCGGCAAGGGGGCGGCGAGCGATGTCTGCCGCTGGGTCGGTCGGTCCCGCACGGAAGGACACCTACGTGCCCAAAGACCCCCTCGCGTCGTAACACAAAAAAATCACGGCGGGAGGTTCTTCGCCATTTTCGGCCTCCGGGGGCCCTTCCCGGGCCTCGGGACCGTCAAAAAACGACCCCCCAGACCCCCGACGTCATGATTTTTTTGTTGCGTCGACCCCCAGAGGTCTCGATTTATTCCCCGGGACCAGTTTTTCCTCCCGAGTCGTTTTTTGAGAGTCCCGAGGCCCCGGTTGGGGCCCCCAGGGGCCGAAACTCGCGAAAACCTCCCGTCATGAGTTTTTCAATACCCGAGGGGGTCTGGGTCAGGAGGAAAAACCGGTCCCGGGGAGGGGGTCCAAACCTCTGGAGTTCGACGCTGCGAGAAAATCACGACGTCGCGGGGTCTGGGTATACGTTTGTGGATGTCATGACAAAGGACACTTTAACAATCCTATCATTGAATCCAAGATGTGTTTAACATGTGTGAAACACGCTCTAAAATGTTTTAAACATGTTGGTGAACACATTGAAGACATGGTTGGAGCATCTTTTAGACATCTGGAAATTATTTGGCAGCACGCTTCCTCTCCATCAATCGACTTCCACAAGCGACAAAGGTATACGCGGGTGGAGCGGGGGGGCGCCCGAGGGGCCGGGAAAGAGTGGGATGGCCGCTCGGCGGCCGGGGCCGAAGCTGGAGAGCAGACCCCCGACGTCGTGCTTTGTTCACAGCCCAGACCCCCTCGAGCTCCTCCTCCTCCTCCTCCTCCTCCTCCTCCTCCTCCTCCTCCTCCTCCTCCTCCTCGCGGCCGTCAGCACTTGGCCGCCGACCTGGGTTTCGTCCTCAAGGTGCTGGACGAGGCCTGGCGCGGCCTGGGCCCGCGGGCCGCGGGGGGGGCCCGCCGCCCGCGGTCGAGGGCTCCTCCTCCTCCTCCTCCTCCTCCTCCTCCTCCTCCTCCTCCTCCTCCTCCTCCTCCTCCTCCTCGCGGCCGTCAGCACTGGGCCGCCGACCTCGGCTTCGTCCTCAAGGTGCTGGACGAGGCCTGGCGCGGCCTGGGCCCGCGGGCCGCGGGGGGGGCCCGCCGCCCGCGGTCGCGGGCGCTGGAGCGGCATCGTCGCGCAACGCGTCCCCGCGTCCTCCTCCTCCTCCTCCTCCTCCTCCTCCTCTTCTTCTTTTTCTTATTCTTATTCTTATTATTATTATTTTTATTCTTATTCTTCTTATTCTTCTTATTATTATTCTTATTATTATTATTCTTCTTTTTCTTCTTATTAGTATTCTTATTATTCTTCTTCTTATTATTATTCTTCTTCTTCGTATTATTCTTCCTATTATTAGTAGTATTCATATTATTATGTGTTTATTATTCTTATTATTATTATTATTCTTAGTATGCTTCTTCTTCGTATTATTCTTATTATTATTATTCGTATTATTAATCGTCTTATTAATAGTATTATTAGTATTATGATTCTTCTTTTTATTATCATTATTATTAGTAATATTCGTATGATTCGTATTCTTATTAGTAGTAGTGTTCTTCTTCTCCTGGTAATTATTAGTAGCATTAGTAGTATTAGTATTCTTATTCTGAGTAGTAGTATTCTTCTTGTTCTTATTAGTATTATTGTTCTTAGTACTAGTATTCTTATTAGTCTTAATCTTAGTATTTTTAATAATATTATTATTCGTCGTATTTTGCTTATTCTTATTAATAGTATTAACAGTAATCTTCTCTGTCGTCGTATTATTATTATTCTTCTTATTCGTATTATTAGTATTCGTATCAGTCTTCTTAGTATTCGTAATAGTGTTCGTATTATTCGTCGTATTCGTATTATTCGTCGTAGTCGTATTATTCTTGGTAGTCGTATTAGTACTCTTAGTGTTCGTATTATTATTATTAGTATTAGTATTCGTCTTCTTTTTCGTATTAGTATTCTTCTTCTTAATACTATTAGTAGTATTCTTATTATTCCTAGTAGTATTATTATTAATACTAATATTCTTATTGTTATGGATATTCTTATTATTAGTAGTAGTAGTAGTATTATTCTTAGTAGTCTTAATATTCTTAGTATTCTTATTATTCGTATTATTATTGTTATTACTATTATGTTTCTTCTTCCTCCTCCTCCTCCCCCTCCTCCCCCTCCCTCTCCTCCCCCTCCTCCCCCTCCTCCCCCCCTCCCCTCCTCCCCTCCTCCCCCTCCTCCCCTCCTCCTCCCCCTCCTCCCCCTCCTCCCCCTCCTCCCCCTCCTCCCCCTCCTCCCCTCCCTCCTCTCCTCCCTCTCCTCCCCCTTCTCCCTCCTCCCCCTCCTCCCCCTCCTCCCCCTCCTCCCCCTCCTCCCCCTCCTCCCCCTCCTCCCCTCCTCCCTCTCCTCCCTCTCCTCCCCTCTCCTCCTCCTCCTCCCTCTCCTCCCTCTCCTCCCTCTCCTCCCTCTCCTTCCCTCTCCTCTCTTCCTCCTGCTCCCTCTGCTCCCTCTGCTCCCTCTGCTCCCTCTCCTCCCTCTCCTCCCTCTCCTCCTCTCCTCCTCCTCCCTCCCTCCCTCCTCTCCTCCCTCCTCTCCTCCTCTCCTCCCTCTCCTCCTCTCCTCCCTCTCCCTCCCTCTCCCTCCTCTCCTCCTCCCTCTCCTCCCTCTCCTCCCTCTCCTCCCTCCCTCTCCTCCCTCTCCTCCCTCTCTCCCTCCTCCCTCTCCTCCCTCTCCTCCCTCTCCTCCTCTCCTCCCTCTCCTCCCCTCCCTCTCCTCCCTCTCCTCCCTCTCCTCCTCCTCCTCCTCCTCCTCCTCCTCCTCCTCCTCCTCCTCCTCCTCCTCCTCCTCCTCCTCCTCCTCCTCCTCCTCCTCCTCCTCCTCCTCCTCCTCCTCCTCCTCCTCCTCCTCCTCCTCCTCCTCCTCCTCCCCCCCTCCTCCTCCCTCCTCCTCCTCCTCCTTCTCCTCCTCCTCCTCCTCCTCCTCCTCCTCCTCCTCCTCCAAGGAAAAAATCACGACACGAGGTTTTTCACCATTTTCGGCCTCGGGGGGCCCTTGCCTGGCCTCAAGACCGTCAAAAAACGACTCGGGATGACAAGCTGGTCCCGGGAAAGAGGTCGAGACCTCGGGGGATCAACGCAGTGAAAAAATTATCCTGGCGAAGGTCCCAACCATATGCAGTTGTGGGTACCGTAATTGTGAATATCTGCTTCGGTGAAGCTCCCTAGGGGGCCACGAAGCGCTGCACTGGGCGGGGGGGAACGCTGTACTGTGTGGGTGGTGTGCCGAATTGGTTTCCGGGACGCATGCGGACAGTCCCACTGAGGGCTTCGGTGGAGCTCCCTATGTGGCCACGAAGCGCTCTACTGGGTGAGTGAAAATGCCAAGTTGGGTTTCCGGGACGCATGCGGACGGTCCCACTGGGGGCTTCGGTGGAGCGCCATGAGGCTACGAAACGCTGCACTGCGCGGGTGAAAATGCCAAATTACATTTCCCAAAAGCCCCCTATGGGGCCACGAAACGCTGCACTGGGTGGGTGAAAATGCCAAATTGGGCTTCCGGGACGCACGCGGACGGGGGCACTGGGGCCTTCGGTGGAGCTCCCTATGGGGCCACGACACGCTGTACTGGGTGTGCGGGACGCGTGCGGACGGTAGCGCTAGGACCTTTGGTGGGGCTCCCTATGGGGCCACGAAACGCTGTACTGGGCGTGCGGGACGCATGCGGACGGTAGCACTGGGACCAGCACTGGGACCTTCGGTGGGGCTCCCTATGGTGACACGAAATGTTGTACTGGATGAATAAAACGCAGAGAGGAGGGGGAGGAGGGCCACGAAACGCTGTATTGGGTGTGTGCGGGACGCATGCGGACGGTAGCACTTGGACCTTCGGTGGAGCTCCCTATGGGGCCACGAAACGCTGTACTGGGTGTGCGGGACGCATGCGGACGGTAGCACTGGGACCTTCGGTGGGGTTCCCTATGGGGCCACGAAACGCTGTACTGGGTGGGTGAAACGCAGGAAGAGCGGGAGGAGGGCCACGAAACGCTGTACTGGGTGTGCGGGACGCATGCGGACGGTAGCACTGGGACCGTCGGTGGAGCTCCCTATGGGCCACGAAACGCTGTACTGGGTGTGCGGACGCATGCGGACGGTAGCACTGGGACCTTCGGTGGGGTTCCCTATGGGGCCACGAAACGCTGTACTGGGTGGGTGAAACGCAGGGAGGAGGGGGAGGGCCACGAAACGCTACTGGGTGTGCGGGACGCATGCGGACGGTAGCACTGGAACCGTCGGTGGAGCTCCCTATGGGGCCACGAAACGCTGTACTGGGTGTGCGGGACGCATGCGGACGGTAGCACTGGGACCTTCGGTGGGGTTCCCTATGGGGCCACGAAACGCTGTACTGGGTGCGCGGGACGCATGCGGACGGTAGCACTGGGACCTTCGGTGGAGCTCCCTATGGGACCACGAAACGCTGTACTGGGTGTGCGGGACGCATGCGGACGGTGGAGAGGAGGAGGGGGCAAAGGAGGAGGGGAGAACGCGGGGACCGTTTCTTCAAAACGAGGACCCAACACCACAGGATGGTTGGGAATCATGACATCGGGGGTCTGAGAACGTCGACCCCCAGAGGTCTGGACCCCTTCCCCGGGACCGGTTTTTCCTCCCCAGTCGTTTTGTTGACGCTCCCGAGGCCCGGGAAGGGCCCCAGGAGGCCGAAAATGGCGAAGAACCTCCCGTCGTGATTTTCTGTTCACGACGCGGGGGAGGGTCTGGGGAGCCAGGGAGAGACAAGGGCGGAGAGGGAGGGACGGCTCCGACAAGCTCGGGCGGCGGGGGAAGGCACCTCGCCAGAGGCAGGGGCCACGCTCGTGGGCACACCACCTGGCCGCTTCGGAGGGCCCCTTTGCGGGGGGAGGGGGGGGGGAATTCCGAACGGGAGCTTCCGGACCGGCGGCGGAGGAGGCGGGGGGAGGGCAGCCAGACCACTTCGGTCCCCCCAAAGGTCCTTGCTGTCCTGGATGCCCTTCGCCCTCTGCGACTTCGTGTCGGAACCGTTGATCCCGCTGGTCGCCTTCGTGGGGGAGGGGTGGGCAAGGCGGAGGGAGGGATGGCGACGGGGGGAAGAGCGGCGGGGTGGTCTTCTCCTTATCGCCCTTCCTCCTAGTACTCCTGTGTATCATTCCTCCTCCCACTCCTCATCCTGCTCCTGTCCTGATCCTGATCCTGCTCCTCCATCGTATCCGTTGATCCCGCTGGCTGCCTTCGTAGAATTGCCTCCGCAGAAGGACGACTTGTCAAGCAGCACTACGCGTCCGCCGCACTCGACAATGGTGTTGGCAGCTGAGACGCCAGCCAGACCGCCGCCGACGACAATGGCCTGGTCAGTTGGGAAGTTGGTCGCCATCAGCCGAACAGGAGCAGCGAATCCTGCGAGTGAGCCTGAAGATGAAAGATGGCTGCAGCCAGTTCAGGAAGCGACAGGGCCATGCACACATCCAGTCGAACTGAAAGAAAATCCTCGTCCCCACCCACCCACCCACCCACCCACCCACTCACCCACCCACCCTCTCCTGTTTGACTGGCCTCTGGCCTGTGATCCATCACATAACACGTCCTAAACGGCGTAGAAAGCGGTGTACGTGTCCAAACAAGTATGATCCAACTGCTTCCTGCCGCTGCAACAGGGTTTGAGTTCTTCGACAAGGCTCCTGGCCCCCACGAAACGTGTTGGAAACGAGGGGCTCTGACTTATTCCCAGACCCACGACCCCAGAAAATACGTCATACACAAAGAAAAAATCTGGATTCCAACAGCTTCACGCACTTATATGGCCGCGGTGAGGGGTCACGATGGGCAGCCACGATTGAAAGTCAGAGACCATGGGAGAAAATGGGAGACAATGGGAATAGGCATAGGAATACACATAGGGATAGGGATATATACGGACAACCATTGAAAACAACGGGGGGAAATGGGGGACAAAGGGAAACAGTGGAAAAAAAGGAGACGATGAGAAACAATGGATAAAGACGTCGCCCTATCAATTCTGGATCCGGCATGACACCAACTGGTTCTCAGAATGTACGTGTGTATATATTTATGTATATATATACACACTAGAGCCATCGCGCGCTTCGCGCGCGCTCAAGTTCTAGCTAGGCTGGATGGTCGAACCCATGAGGATCCCTATTCCATGACGCTTCTTCTCCTGGGTTTCCAAGAACCACGAAGACGGCCCAAGTGACTTCCAAGACTTCCTACGGTCCACCAACGACGGCCTAAGGCATGCCCAAAAGGCACTTCGGGTGCCCTTTTATTCGCCGCGGCTGGACGTAGCCGGAGGAAGAGGGAGGAGAAGGGGAGGTGAAGGCGTTCCCTGGGGGAGGAGGAGGAGGAGTTGGAGAGGGTGGAGGAGGCCGCAGAGGAGGAGGAACTGGAGGAGGAAGAAGAGGAGGAAATCTGATATGTCCTTTTTTCGCAAGCGTAGCGAAGCTGCCAAGCGAACTCTTACAAAAGAACTGCTGGAATTCCCGCTTTTCTCAAGTGCCCTCGGGGCCTCTCTTGGGGCTTCTTGGAGACCTCTTGAAGCCTCCTGGGGGTCTCCTGGGGTTAAGGTCTCGGGTTCTCGGTTCACGTTCCCGTTCCTGGACCGCGGTTTGGGCCCTCCCAGGCCGTCTTGGACGCCTCTTCGACGCTTGTGAAGCCTATTAGGCCGTCTTGGAGCGCTTTTGAAGCCTATTGGACCGTCTTGGGGCGATCCTCGGAGCCTTTTGGGGCGTTTTGCAGCGTCGGGAAGCGAAACAGGCAGAAACGACAAATTCTGTTATGGAAAAAACGATGGGACATAAATGGTTGTTGGCCTCTTCGAGCTCTGTTGGGAGACCTCTCTTGGAAGCCTCTTGCGCATCTTGGAGGGCCTCTTGGGCCGTCTGGAGGCCGTCTTGGGGGTCATGGACCATCTAGTGGCCTTCGGCCCATCCCGCGACCGTACCTGGGTTGTGGGTTAGAGGCCTCTTGGAAGTTCGTTTGGAATTTGTGAGAGCCTCTTGAAGGCAGTTTTGGAGGCCTCTTGGGGGCCGTTTGGGATGCTCTTGGGGCATCTTTGGGGGCCTCCTTAGGGCCTCGTGGGTCGTCCAGGGGGCCTCTAGGGGGCCTCTTGGGCGCTCTTTGGGGCTCTTGGGGCATGGGGCCTCTTTGGGGCCTCGTGAGTCGTCTAGGGGGCATCTAGGGAGCCTCTTGGGCTCTCTTTGGGGCTCATGGGGCCTCCTGGGGGCCTCTTAGGGCGGAAGGCTCGAATTGTCGGTTCGTGTTCCCCCTCTTGGGCCCCTCTTGGGGCCGTCTTGGGGCACTCTTGGGCGATCTTGGGCTCCTCTTGGGCCGTCTTGGAGCACTCTTGGGCCGTCTTGGGACTCTCTTGCGCCGTCGTGGCGCCCTCTTTTGGTGCCTCTTGGGCTGCCTTGGACCGTCGGAAGCACGACAAAGCGAGAGCACGAAAGACCTTCAAAAACCCTTCGAATCAAAAACTGCTTGTTTCGCCTCCTGAATGCCTCGTGGGAGTCCTTTGAAAATAATCTTGGCCATCTTGAAGCCCTCTTGGGCTGTCTTCAAACCATGTTGGACAAATGTTTCAACGCTCTTGTACGGTCGTGGACTCTCTTGGAGCGCTCCTGGGCCATCTTGGCGCCCTCTTGGACGTCTCTCGGGCCCTCTCGTCGCCCCCCTTCCCCTCCTTTGACGCGCTCTGGCCCCCCGCCAGGTCCAAAACGGCCGGAAGAGAAATAAGTGCACTCTGGGGTCCCAGGGACCCCCTCCCCATACCTATATCTCGTGGGAGTCCTTTTGAGGGCAGCTTGGCCGTCTGCTCTTGGGCCATCTTAGCGCCCTCTTGGACGTCTCTCAGGTCCTATCGTCGCCCCCCTTTCCCTCCTTTGACGCGTTCTGGCCCCCCGACGAGTCCAAAACCCGAGAACCCCGAGAACCCCCGAGAACCCCTCCCCATTAGATATATACATATACCTATACGACCACCCTTCAAGTGATAAGGAGGTTGGGGGGGGAAGAGGGAGGGGAACCAACATCTGACTCTATCGATCTCTCTATCGATCTCACTCAACGGGACACCACGGGACACCACGGGACACCACGGGACACCATGGGACACCACGGGACACTTGTCGATCTCACTATCGATCTCACTATCGATCTCACTCAACGGGACACCACGGGACACCACGGGCCACCACGGGACACCATGAGACACCGCGGGACACCTCTCGATCTCACTATCGGTCTCACTATCGATCTCACTATCGATCTCACTCAACGGGACACCACGGGCCACCACAAAACACCACGGGACACCGCGGGACACCGCGGACCACCGGCCGCCGGAGGAGTTACATTTGATCCGGCCGCGGCCCAGCCACAAGAGAATTTCGGGACACCGGCGGGACATCGGCGGGACACCGCGGGGCACCGGCCGCCGGGAGAGTTACATTTGGTCCGGCCGCGGCCCAGCCACAGGAGGATTCCTCTCGCCCGCCCACGCAGCTTCGCATCGCCCGCACACACGCACGGCACGCACGACACGACCCCGAAACCAAAATCGATTTCCCAGTAGGGGGGGTCTACGTTTCACATCGGATTCACCCCCCAACCTCCGATATACACACATATACCTAATACTATATAACGTACATACATGCGTACATACATGCATACATACATACAGACGCCCATACATACATGCATACAGACATACAGACATACAGACATACAAGCACACAGGCATACATACATACATACATACATACATACATACATATATACATACATACATGACTGCTAAAACACATACATATATTCACACATTCGCACATACATACATACATACATACATACATACATGCATGCATGCATGCATGCATGCATACAGACAGACAGACAGACAGACAGACAGACATGCAGACATGGACACATACATGCATGCATGCACATATACATACATACATGCATACATACATACATACATACATGCATGCATGCATACATACATACATATATACATACATACATACATGCATGCATGCATGCATGCATACATGCTTGCATACGTACGTACGTACGTACGTACGTACGTACGTACATACATACATACATACATACATACATACGTACATACACCTCTACATATAGTTGTATATACATACATACATACATACATACATACATACATACATGCATGCATACATATATATACATACATGCATAGATGCATGCATATATACGTACATGCATACACACCTACACTCATACCTACATACATACATGCATGCTTACATACATACATGCATGCATATATGTATGCATACACACAGGCATACATGCATGCATGCATACATACACATATAAACAGGTGTATATACATATATATACATATTAAAAAATATGTGTGGTAGCTTCAAGCGCTGGGAAGTCCAAACTGGATCATGTCTGATTTCTCACTTTCCGACTGGTCGGCTTACTTTACTCAGAAGTATGTGGCTATCGCATCCCAGCTTGCTTGTCGTTGTCTGCTCCTGCATTGTGTTGTTTGCTGAGCCTTCGTCCGCAATATGGTCTTTTTGTTCCTAATCAGTCCCTCTCCCTCGTGCTCCGTTGCCTGCCTCACCCCTGCATTTGGTCTCACCGCTTCCCTCTCATCTTCGTCCTTGTGTGGGCGTGCGCAGACACGGTACGTGGCAGCTCACTTTCGTCCTGTTTCAATCTACTTCTTTCCACCAACCCCTTCCTCCTTGTGACGGGTTGGGGCCCGAAACTTACTCGCCGGTGCTAAATCGACGGCCCATTGGGGCCTCCAAGACAGGTTTGAGAAACCAACACTACAGCCCAATAGCAACCCAAGAGAGCCCCGAGATGTTTCCAACACGGCCCCCGAAGAGCCAGACAACGCAAGGACGCTCCAAGACGACCAGAAGTGACCCTAGAGATCAGCGGAAAAATTAGCCTGGCGAAGGACCCAACCATATGCAGCTGCGAATACCGCACGGATATGAAACGAAGGAGGGGGCACGCAAACTAGGCCCCTCTTCTCATATGCACCGCGCCACTGGGGCCTTCGGTGAAGCTCCCTATGGGGCCACGAAACGTGTGAGGGGTGTGCCGAAATGGGTGGTGGGGAGGCATGCGGACCCTGCCACTGGGGCCTTCGGTGGAGCTCCCTATGGGGCCACGAAACGTGTGAGGGGTGTGCCGAAATGGGTGGTGGGGAGGCATGCGAACGCAGCCACTGGGGCCTTCGGTGGAGCTCCCTATGGGGCCACGAAACGTGTGAGGGGTGTGCCGAAATGGGTGGTGGGGAGCCACTGGGGCCTTCGGTGGAGCTCCCTATGGGGCCACGAAACG